CAGTAATCCCAGTAATCCCAGTAAACCCAGTAATCCCACCAAACCCAGTAAACCCAGTAATCCCAGTAAACCCAGGAAGCCCAGTAAACCCAGTAATCCCAGTAAACCCAGTAATCCCACCAAACCCAGTAAACCCAGTAATCCCAGTAAACCCAGTAAACCCAGTAATCCCAGTAATCCCAGTAAACCCAGTAATCCCAGTAATCCCAGTAATCCCAGTAAACCCAGTAATCCCAGTAAACCCAGTAATCCCAGTAAACCCAGTAAACCCAGTAATCCCAGTAATCCAGTAAACCCAGTAATCCCAGTAAACCCAGTAATCCCAGTAAACCCAGTAAACCAGTAATCCCAGTAAACCCAGTAATCCCAGTAACCCAGTAATCCCAGTAAACCCAGTAATCCCAGTAATCCCAGTAAACCCAGTAAACAGTAAACCCAGTAAACCCAGTAATCCCAGTAAACCCAGTAAACCCAGTAATCCCAGTAATCCCAGTAAACCCAGTAAACCCAGTAAACCCAGTAATCCCAGTAAACCCAGTAATCCCAGTAATCCCAGTAAACCCAGTAAACCCAGTAAACCCAGTAATCCCAGGAAGCCCAGTAAACCCAGTAATCCCAGTAAACCCAGTAATCCCAGTAATCCCAGTAAACCCAGTAAACCCAGTAATCCCAGTGGTCAGGTTGTAGAAATGAACTGATCACTGAATCTAGACTGGATTCTTGATGAAACTAAATTAAATTCATAAATTTATGATGCATAGCCATTTGTCCTCCATCTTCCCGCCTCCCTCAAGCCCCGCCCCTTTTCTCCTACCTCACATCCTGTTAGCGCCTGGCTAATCTCAGGCTGTCTGAGCTGTTGCCATGATAACCGCAGTCTGCTTCCAGTCCCAGGCCATGAAGGCTGCCTGGTGTTCGGGACCATCGAGGAGACGCCCTGTGTCTTCATGAAGGGACACTTCCACCTGTACGAAGGTTACTCCCTCTGCCAGGTGAGTCGTCCTCATTGCTACCCAGCATGCACTGGGGCGGGTGGGTGCCTATGGTTAACTCTAACCTCGATGTCCAAAGAAAGTTTTGCTCCTTGAGAGTTTTGTCTTTGCGCCGCTCACCGCCAGGTGACCTTCCCAGTTCGGATCTTCAAGCTGCTGGGAGTGGACTCCGTCCTGGTGACCAACGCCTCGGGGGGGATCTGTCCGGACTTCAAGGTCGGGGACATCATGGTGATCCGGGATCACATCAACCTGCCAGGTTTTGCCGGCCAGCACCCTCTGTGCGGACCCAACGACGAGCGGTGAGGCGCCGCGACGCGCCGACCGGAGCTCCAACCGCGGAGCTCCAACCGCGGAGCTCCAACCGCCGTCCGTCACGGTAAACCTGTCCTCCGTCCCACATCCAGGTTCGGGACGCGATTCCCCTGCATGTCGGACGCCTACAGCAAAGCACTGCGGACGCTGGCGCTGGACGTGGCCTCTGACCTCGGCTGCAGCGTCCGCACCGGCGTCTACTGCATGGTGAGCGGACCCAACTTCGAGACCATCGCGGAGGCCCGCATGCTGCTGACGCTGGGCTGCGACTGCGTGGGTAAGACAGGAGCAGCGTGGTTCTGGACGTAATGTCCTGGTGAGATTGTCCTTCAATCGTCTGCGGTTGATGTCTTCGTGTTTGGGGTTCGTCTCTCTGAACGTCACAGGTTGTCGTTTTGCTCTGGGGTCCAGAGGCCTCGTGTAAAACCTGTGGACACACAAACTGTGCAGTTCCATATTTTACAGACAAGTCAAATATGTTGGTGTAAATAAACGCAAACTGTGGTGAAAATGTGCAGCAGCCACCAAACTTTCTCTGTGGACAATAATCCGGGTCTGAATCCCCTGAAATCTGCACGACCTCTGACCTCTGTCTCTGTTTGTCCTACTCCAAGTTCAGTGAAAAACCGCGCAGCGTTTTATGCATGAGGCCCAGATGGAGCTCAAACGGGTCGACCAGGACCAGAACATCATGAATCTATTAAAGCTCAATGTCCAACAGTACAAGAACCAGAACCATCCAAAGGTTCGGTTCTGGTTCTTTCAAACCTTTATAGTGAACTATACTGAACTGAACTTGTTTATGTTGGATCTGAAGACAGAAGCCGCGTCTCCCTGCGATCCGGTTCTGGATCTGAATCCGGTTCTATGGACTGTCAGAATCTGATCAGAATCATGAATCTGAAAGTGGAGAGAAAACCAGATGGACGATTTTGACCCAACAAACAGCCAGAAGATGCTGGAATGAAGACGCTGTGACTCACAGAGCCATGCTTTGACTAGGCCACGCCCCTGTGAAGCAGGACAGACACCGGTGTCCTGTGTCAGTGAGGGACAGTGCGTCGTCGTGGCTAATGCTAACGCTAGCGTCTCTGGAAATGTGGCGACGGAGACCAGAGACGCTTTGGCTCGACGGGACGTTTGGACTGAACTGTTTCTGATCAATGTCTTCAGAATACATATTAAATGTGTTAATATGATCATATCCTGATATTCAGCTGAACAAGATGAGGATTGTTTTTATGGAAACGCTGAAAATTCCCAACAGGAAACTTTTGTTGATGGTTTGAAGCCATAGTGACGTCCGCTTGTCTGTCCAGGAATGTCCATGGTCCCTGAAGTCACTGTGGCGAAACACTGCGGACTCAGAGTCCTGGGTTTGACCCTCGTCACCAACAAGGTCTCTGACAGGAGACACTGTCCTGTCCTCACCTGTCTCTGCCTGTCCTCACCTGTCTCTATCTGTCCTCACCTGTCTATCTGTCCTCACCTGTCTCTGCCTGCCCTCACCTGTCTCTGCCTGTCCTCACCTGTCTCTGCCTGCCCTCACCTGTCTCTATCTGTCCTCACCTGTCTCTATCTGTCCTCACCTGTCTATCTGTCCTCACCTGTCTCTGCCTGCCCTCACCTGTCTCTATCTGTCCTCACCTGTCTCTATCTGTCCTCACCTGTCTATCTGTCCTCACCTGTCTCTGCCTGTCCTCACCTGTCTCTATCTGTCCTCACCTGTCTCTATCTGTCCTCACCTGTCTCTGTCTGTCCTCACCTGTCTCTATCTGTCCTCACCTGTCTCTGCCTGTCCTCACCTGTCTATCTGTCCTCACCTGTCTCTGCCTGTCCTCACCTGTCTCTATCTGTCCTCACCTGTCTCTATCTGTCCTCACCTGTCTATCTGTCCTCACCTGTCTCTGCCTGTCCTCACCTGTCTCTGCCTGTCCTCACCTGTCTCTGCCTGTCTCACCTGTCTCTATCTGTCCTCACCTGTCTCTGCCTGCCCTCACCTGTCTCTGCCTGTCCTCACCTGTCTCTATCTGTCCTCACCTGTCTCTGCCTGTCCTCACCTGTCTATCTGTCCTCACCTGTCTCTGCCTGCCCTCACCTGTCTCTGCCTGTCCTCACCTGTCTCTGCCTGTCCTCACCTGTCTCTATCTGTCCTCACCTGTCTCTGCCTGCCCTCACCTGTCTCTGCCTGTCCCTCACCTGTCTCTATCTGTCCTCACCTGTCTCTGCCTGCCCTCACCTGTCTCTGCCTGTCCTCACCTGTCTCTATCTGTCCTCACCTGTCTCTGCCTGTCCTCACCTGTCTTGCCTGTCTGTCTTCAGGTGTCTCTGGACTACAGCCGTGAGGAAAAGGTGAACCATGATGAGGTTCTGGAGATCTGTAAGATGAGGGCGGAGCTTCTGCAGAAGCTGGTCTCCACTCTGATTGGCCGCTGTCAGCAGAACATCAACACACACTGAGACACACACCTGGAGCTGCTGCTGGTCTCCAGTCCATTTCTGTTCTCAATAAATTGAAGAACCTTCTTTGGTCTCCAGGCGTCTTTAGAACCTCCAGAACTTTCTGAGCCAGCAGAGAATAAAACATGAAGCTTCTGATTTCATATTTTATTATCAAAGAAGCAGATAATGTACCGCATTAGGTACAATTATTAACCAATCAGATGTAGAGATATCAGCAGAGGCGGGGCCTCTGTGGTCCAATCAGCTGTCAGCATTACGACCCTTTGTACCTCTGATCATGGCCTCCAAAGTGTCCCACTGATCTGGAGTCACCTGGAGGACGAAGACATGAGCAGTGATGTCATCAGTAACGTGTTGCTAACAGTAACTGTCTTCGTCTCGTCCAGTGATCGCCGTTTCTACGCGACGGCGTCCACAGAAATGCAAACACCTGAGGGAGGGTTAGAGTTTCACGTCCCAAGATTAAAGTGACTTTAAAGAGGCTTGAGACTGAATGAGTGTCGAGTTTAACCTTTAACCTGATCAGTGGAGAAACATTGTTGATGTTACAATATGAAATATCTTACAGTGAATTATTGGCAAAGATCAATGTGATTGATTATCATTGTGTTGTTAGCAGCTGCTGAAAGTAACTGAAAAGTTACTTTTAATGTAACTTAGTTACTTTCCAAATCAAGTAATCAGTAATCAGTTACTTTCTGAGAGTCTGTTCTGGACGTAGTTTCAGTCGTGAGACAGGTGAGCGGCGCCACTCACCTTGCGCAGCTCGTTAAATTCTCCCGCCATCGACACGAATTCGCCGCCATCGAAACGGATCACCTGAGAACGCAGGTCACATCTTTTCATCTTTGGAAATACATCCTTCTCATGTGAATACTGACGACTCCGTATCGAGACGGCCGACGGCCATTTGGTAGGTAGCCTAAAAAGTTTGCATGGTGTTGCTATGACAACAATTGGGCAGCAGCCATTTTGTCCACGTGTCTTTGTCTCGGTTGCTCAGGAACGTCCCCATTTAGTTCATCTACGCTTTGTGCAGCGTTTGGCTACCAAGATGGACGTTCAGAGAAATCGTGATAAAAAAATCTTCTCTTTGTCTAATCAGAGCAGGTCATGACCTATGACCTCATCATGGAAGCAGTTGAGACAGGTGTCTCACCTGTCCAGTTGTTCTGATTCTGGACAGGTTCTGTTGTGTGTTCAGAGCGTTGGTGATGAATATATTTTAGCATTTTCTTCACCTACTGAATGTAAAGCCATTATTTTCTTCTAATAAACTAATTTAAGCGCAAACCATTTTTCCTTTAAAAAGACTGACTCTGGTCGGTTCTGGTCAGAAACGGGTCAGAACTCACAGCTCCAGACATCCAGCTGGCGAAGTCGCTGCTCAGGTACGCTGCCAGGTTGGCGAGCTCGGCTGGTTTCCGAGCCGACCCGTCGGAATCCGATCGATCATCGACATCTCAAAACTTCCAGTTGGGTCCAGACGGAAGGCTCCCTGAACAGAACCAGAACCAGAACGGGTTCTAACCAGGTCCGTCAGTTTAATCCAGCAGAATCTCAGCAATAAAACTCACTAATGACTGCAAGTCATATCACAACAAAGGGCTTGAAAGGTCAAGGTTCAAGGCCTGGGCACCATGGCACCAGCCCAGGGAATGGTACCTTGGTCCTGATTGGTCCAGGCTGGATGACGTTGAACCTGTGTCCATAGCGCCCCCACTCTGCAGCCAGAGACCTGCGGGCGAGAGCCGCACAGTTACCACGGCAACGCCAGGGCCAGGCAACGCATCTGTGTCCGACTGACTTGTACAGCGCCTCGACGCCGGCCTTCGCCGCCGCACTCGGAACCACGAACCCAGAACCGGACTCAGCGTAGACGGTGGTGATGGCGAGGAACGAGGCGCCTGAGACACAAGAAGACGGTTAGAACGGCTCAGCTTCTGGTTCCGGTCCCGGTTCTGGTTCGGACCTTTCTGGGCCCGGATCAGCCTCTTGCCCAGCTCCAGCGTGACGAACGCCGTCCCGTTCAGGACGATGTCGGTGACGCTGCGCCAGCGTTGGGCGTCAGCCGCTCCGTCGGACAGATGAAATTGCCTGCGGCGTTGTTGATGATCACCTGGCCAATGGGGACACAGGATAGCGTGATGTCATCACCAACGCTCTGAACACACAACAGCGACAGGTTCTGGTTCTGGTTTACATCAGGAAGTCCGCTTAGCGCCACCATCTGGTCCACGCAGCGCGCCACGGCCTGAGGGTCTCTGACGTCGCACTGGAGGGCGTGGACCTGAGGACAGACACGGACCGGGTCAGACGCTGGGTTCTGGACCCGTTCTGGTTCTGAGATGACCCGGTTACCTGGTTCCCGGTCTGGCTGCTGATCTCGCCAGCTGTCTCCTGCAGGACGTCCAGGTTCCTGAACCAGACGAGCAGAAGTTCAGGAACGGTTCCCGATGGGGTCATGTGACCTGTGATGTGACCTCTGACCTGCTGGCGATGACGCAGCGGGCTCCAAGCTGGGACAGAACCAGGGTCATGGCCCGGCCCAGACCGGTGCCGCCTCCAGTGATGAAGGCCAGCCGATCTCTGAAGCTTCCCGCCGGCAGCATGGGCCTCGGACGGAGCGAAGAACCGGACGGACGGGCCGATTCGGACCGGACCGGCGGCCTGGGGAACCGGGCCTGAGACACAAAGTTATGGCCCAGTTGGAACCCAGTTCAGTTAAAGCACCTGAATATGACAATAATTACAATCAATCATCAATCAATTAATCACGTTCTGCCATCCAGGTGTTCAGGTGGGCGTGGCTACAGCCTGTTACCATGGTGATGCATGGGGGCCACTTCCTGCTTTAGCCCCGCCCCTTTTGGTCTTATCTCTGGCCTTCTGCTAAGCCACATGCAGGTGGACTATTACCCACAATTCATTGCTGCACGTGACGTTTTGAGTTAAAAGGCGGATTTATGGCAATGATTTGTTTTTCTTCCAACTTTATGGAAAATTAAAAGAAAATATTATGACAAGGCACATTAGTGATAAAAAGTTTGATTTAATAAACTGAGCAGGAAAAGAAGAAATGAAAATAAACTAAATGAGGAAAGAAAAAATGTCACAAATGAAAGACAAATTTCAAATCTTAAATTAAGATATTAACATATTGGATTAAAGATTGTAAATAATAAATGATTTCACTTTAAAAGTGGAGTTGATTTTTAGAAAGTAGTATTTGAGAATGAAACTTGGGATTAGATAAATCATCATTTAACTCTGTTAGAAGACCAATTTTCATTTTCTAAAACTAAAGATGGAATAGATTTATTGTACAACATCCACTTTTCAAAGCTTTCTAAAACTTTAATGAAGTTGCAATTTATCATGATTTATAAACAAATGTTTTCTTCTCAGACTTGAGGAGAAAACTGATGAATTTATTGTTACATTTTTGCTTCATAAAGTCACAACATTCAGTTTTTTTTTAAAGAATATTTTAGTTCCATTTATATATGCTGTGCCTTAATTTGATTTGTTAGCATATTAGCTCCACTTTATATCAAGCTAACTTTCAGCCATAAATTGAAGGTGTTTTTGAGTGACATCATGAATTGATTCCTATTATTAGTCAATTGCCATTAAGACAGTTAAATGTTTGGAGATTTTAATGTGTATTATTTGATAAATCATCATGCAATAAAAAGTTGTCTTGGAAATATTGCACAGAGAAAGCTGCGTTTGTTTTAAAAAATGAAAATAGTTTTCAAATGTAAAGGGTTGAAATTATTTTTGCGTCACTGAACCTGTGAATAAATGCATGGTTAGCAGTCCTCCGGTCAGAAGGGGGCGCTGCGTCCTGTAACGCAGGCTTTGGAGCAAGAGACAGCTTCATGTCTCCCGTGTTTAACGCGGTACGATGCCCTGGTTATGAGCAAGGCATCTGGGAGCCCCGTGCCCCCAGATGCCCCCTCTGGCGCCGCCTCGGGCGCCAAGACCGCTGGACTGACGTCACCTTAAGACGCCAGTCAAAGTCAAACTTGTGGCCCCTGGTGCTGACAACGTGAACTACAGCTGGCCGGAGTCTTCATGGATGTAGGCGGGATCGGGTGAAAGGTCAACCCGGACTGAAAACTTTAACGTTCCTTCAGTCCGACACCTGACGCTCCATACGCTGCTCTCTGACGTCACAGATGCTGCTTGGTCTCACCTGCAGAAGGTTCCTTCCTGAGCTCAGCATGACGGCCGCCATGTTGGTTTCAGTTGATGACGTATGAGGGCCCTACCACCAAGACGTCATGAGGGGGCGGGGCAGCGCTTCAATTTTTATTTTCAGGTTTTGTTCAATAAAAATAAGTAAAATTCGCTTTTATTAGTTTTACCTTTAATAGTTGAATGAACACAGAACAAAGCCCATCATTTACTCGGAACCACAACCTGGAGGTTCTGATCTGGTTCCGGTTCCGTTCCCCATTTATGGTTCGGTCTGGATCTGATGATAGTCACGTGGTTCCGAGTCGAACAGGTCCCGGGTTCCAGCAGAACCTCCTGGTCCATTTGGCTCCTGATTTGAGGAGCTTCACAGTGCGGTTCGGTTCCGGTCCGGTCCGACAACGGAACCAACAGCGTCTCAGGTGGACTGACAGATGGAGAACCGAGCGTCTGGACCCGAACTGGTTCTGGTCTTCAGCGGAAAGCGGAAGTCCGGGAAAGATTTCATAACGGACTTGATCCAGGATCGGTAAGGTTCGGTTCCGATTGGAGCCCGGGCTCGGTTTGTTTACATTGGAGTCACGTGGCTGTTTCCCTCATAAATGAAGCATCAGAACCATTGCGCTCCTGGTTCTGAACGACTCTGGACCGGGTCGCTGATGTTTCTGATCAGAACCTTCCAGAACCTCGGAGCAGATCCGTCAGCAGCAGATTCTCCAGCCGGCCCGGTTTTGATCAGAGTTCTGATCCGGGCCAGTTCGTCATGTCCAGCTCTTAGCTGGTTCCGTCTCCATGACAACCAGTGTCTGACTGAAGCAGGTGAAGCTTTTATTTTGAAAGTCGAGGTTCTGATGGGTCAAACAGAACCTCCAGAACCAATGAAGTCCAAAAGCTCAGAGCAACCACAGTACCTGTCCTCTGGTTCTGGGGATATTTGGATCCAGTCATGACAGGAACAGAACCACAACAGAACCACAACAGAACCAGCCTGATTTATCAGGAAACTGGTTCTGGTTCTAGGTTCTAGGTTCTGGTTCTGGTTTTGGATCTAGGTTCTTGGTTCTGGTTCTAGGTTCTGGTCTTGGTTCTGGTTCTTGGTTCTGGTTCTGGTTTTTGGATCTAGGTTCTTGGTTCTGGTTCTAGGTTCTGGTCTTGGTTCTGGTTCTAGGTTCTGGTTCTTGGTTCTGGTTCTGGTCTTGGTTCTGGTTCTGGTTCTAGGTTCTTGGTTCTGGTTCTTGGTTCTTGGTTCTGGTTCTTGGTTCTGGTTCTGGTTTTTGGATCTAGGTTCTTGGTTCTGGTTCTAGGTTCTGGTCTTGGTTCTGGTTCTAGGTTCTGGTTCTAGGTTCTGGTTCTTGGTTCTGGTCTTGGTCCTGGTTTTTGGATCTAGGTTCTTGGTTCTTGGTTCTGGTTCTTGGTTCTGGTTCTAGGTTCTGGTTCTTGGTTCTGGTTCTGGTCTTGGTTCTGGTTCTTGGTTCTGGTTCTTGGTTCTGGTTCTGGTCTTGGTTCTGGTTCTAGGTTCTGGTTCTTGGTTCTGGTTCTGGTTCCTGGTTCTGGTTCTTGGTTCTGGTTCTAGGTTCTGGTCTTGGTTCTGGTTCTGGTTCTAGGTTCTTGGTTCTGGTTCTTGGTTCTGGTTCTTGGTTCTTGGTTCTGGTTCTTGGTTCTGGTTCTGGTTTTTGGATCTAGGTTCTTGGTTCTGGTTCTAGGTTCTGGTCTTGGTTCTGGTTCTAGGTTCTGGTTCTTGGTTCTGGTTCTTGGTTCTGGTTCTAGGTTCTGGTTCTTGGTTCTGGTTCTAGGTTCTGGTTCTTGGTTCTGGTTCTAGGTTCTGGTTCTTGGTTCTGGTCTTGGTCCTGGTTTTTGGTTCTAGGTTCTGGTCTTGGTTCTGGTTTTTGGATCTAGGTTCTTGGTTCTGGTTCTTGGTTCTGGTTCTGGTTCTAGGTTCTGGTTCTTGGTTCTGGTTCTGGTCTTGGTTCTGGTTCTTGGTTCTGGTTCTTGGTTCTGGTTCTGGTCTTGGTTCTGGTTCTAGGTTCTGGTTCTAGCTTCTGGTTCTGGTTCCTGGTTCTGGTTCTTGGTTCTGGTTCTTGGTTCTGGTTCTTGGTTCTGGTTCTGGTTTTTGGATCTAGGTTCTTGGTTCTGGTTCTAGGTTCTGGTTCTGGTTCCTGGTTCTGGTTCTTGGTTCTAGGTTCTGGTTCTTGGTTCTGGTCTTGGTTCTGGTTCTGGTTCTAGGTTCTGGTTCTTGGTTCTGGTTCTTGGTTCTTGGTTCTGGTTCTTGGTTCTGGTTCTTGGTTCTGGTTCTGGTTTTTGGATCTAGGTTCTTGGTTCTGGTTCTAGGTTCTGGTCTTGGTTCTGGTTCTAGGTTCTGGTTCTAGGTTCTGGTTCTAGGTTCTGGTTCTAGGTTCTGGTTCTTGGTTCTGGTCTTGGTTCTGGTTCCTGGTTCTTGTTCTTGGTTCTGGTTCTAGGTTCTGGTCTTGGTTCTGGTTCTAGGTTCTGGTTCTAGGTTCTGGTCTTGGTTCTGGTTCTTGGTTCTGGTCTTGGTTCTTGTCTTGGTTCTGGTTCTAGGTTCTGGTCTTGGTTCTGGTTCTAGGTTCTGGTCTTGGTTCTGGTTCCTGGTTCTTGTTCCTGGTTCTTGGTTCTGGTTCCTGGTTCTGGTTCCTGGTTCTTGTTCCTAGTTCTTGGTTCTGGTCTTGGTTCTGGTTCCTGGTTCTTGGTTCTTGTTCTGGTTCTTGGTTCTTGTTCCTGGTTCTTGGTTCTTGTTCTGGTTCTTGGTTCTTGTTCTTGGTTCTGGTTCCTGGTTCTTGTTCCTGGTTCTTGGTTCTGGTTCCTGGTTCTTGGTTCTGGTCTTGGTTCTGGTTCCTGGTTCTTGGTTCTGGTCTTGGTTAAGGTTCCTGGTTCTTGGTTCTGGTCTTGGTTCTGGTTCCTGGTTCTGGTGTTCCTGGTTCTTGGTTCTTGGTCTGGTCTTGGTTCTAGGTTCTGGTTCTTGGTTCTGGTCTTGGTTCTGGTTCTAGGTTCTGGTTCTTGGTTCTGGTCTTGGTTCTTGTCTTGGTTCTGGTTCTAGGTTCTGGTCTTGGTTCTGGTTCCTGGTTCTTGTTCCTGGTTCTTGGTTCTGGTCTTGGTTCTGGTTCTAGGTTCTTGGTTCTGGTCTTGGGTTCTGGTTCCTGGTTCTGGTTCTGGTCTTGGTTCTGGTTCCTGGTTGGTCTTGGTTCTGGTTCTAGGTTCTGGTCTTGGTTCTGGTTCCTGGTTCTTGGTTCTGGTCTTGGTTCTGGTTCCTGGTTCTTGTTCCTGGTTCCTGGTTCTTGTCTTGGTTCTGGTTCCTGGTTCTTGGTTCTGGTTCTAGGTTCTGGTCTTGGTTCTGGTTCTAGGTTCTGGTTCTAGGTTCTGGTCTTGGTTCTGGTTCTTGGTTCTGGTCTTGGTTCTTGTCTTGGTTCTGGTTAGGTTCTAGGTTCTGGTCTTGGTTCTGGTTCTTGTTCCTGGTTCTTGGTTCTGGTTCCTGGTTCTGGTCTTGGTTCTGGTTCCTGGTTCTTGGTTCTGGTTCTAGGTTCTGGTCTTGGTTCTGGTTCCTGGTTCTTGTTCCTGGTTCTTGGTTCTGGTTCCTGGTTCTAGGTTCTGGTCTTGGTTCTGGTTCCTGGTTCTGGTTCTAGGTTCTGGTCTTGGTTCTGGTTTGGTCTTGGTTCTTGTCTTGGTTCTGGTTTCTAGGTTCTAGGTTCTGGTCTTGGTACTGGTTCCTGGTTCTTGGTTCTGGTTCCTGGTCTTGTTCCTGGTTCTTGGTTCTGGTTCCTGGTTCTTGGTTCTGGTCTTGGTTCTGGTTCCTGGTTCTTGGTTCTGGTCCTGGTTCTGGTTCCTGGTTCTTGGTTCTGGTCTTGGTTCTGGTTCTAGTTTCTGGTCTTGGTTGGTTCTAGGTTCTGGTCTTTGTTCTGGTCTTGGTTCTGGTTCCTGGTTCTTGTTCCTGGTTCTTGGTTCTGGTTCTTGTTGGTTCTGGTTCTTGTCTTGGTTCTGGTTCTTGTCTTGGTTCTGGTCTTGGTTCTGGTTCTAGGTTCTTGTTCCTGGTTCTGGTTCTTGGTTCTTGTCTTGGTTCTGGTTCTAGGTTCTTGTTCCTGGTTCTGGTTCTTGGTTCTGGTCTTGGTTCTGGTTCTTGTTCCTGGTTCTTGGTTCTGGTTCCTGGTTCTGGTCTTGGTTCTGGTTCCTGGTTCTTGGTTCTGGTTCTAGGTTCTGGTCTTGGTTCTGGTTCCTGGTTCTTGTTCCTGGTTCTTGGTTCTGGTTCCTGGTTCTTGGTTCTGGTTCCTGGTTCTTGGTTCTGGTTCTAGGTTCTGGTCTTGGTTCTGGTTCTTGGTTCTGGTCTTGGTTCTTGTCTTGGTTCTGGTTCTAGGTTCTAGGTTCTGGTCTTGGTACTGGTTCCTGGTTCTTGGTTCTGGTTCCTGGTTCTTGTTCCTGGTTCTTGGTTCTGGTTCCTGGTTCTTGGTTCTGGTCTTGGTTCTGGTTCCTGGTTCTGGTTCCTTGTTCTTGGTTCTGGTTCTGGTTCCTGGTTCTTGGTTCTGGTCTTGGTTCTGGTTCTAGGTTCTGGTCTTGGTTCTGGTTCTAGGTTCTGGTCTGTGTTCTGGTCTTGGTTCTGGTTCCTGGTTCTTGTTCCTGGTTCTTGGTTCTGGTTCTTGTCTTGGTTCTGGTCTTGGTTCTGGTTCTAGGTTCTTGTTCCTGGTTCTGGTCTTGGTTCTGGTCTTGGTTCTGGTTCCTGGTTCTTGGTTCTGGTTCTAGGTTCTGGTCTTGGTTCTGGTTCCTGGTTCTTGTTCCTGGTTCTTGGTTCTGGTTCCTGGTTCTAGGTTCTGGTCTTGGTTCTGGTTCCTGGTTCTTGGTTCTGGTTCTAGGTTCTGGTCTTGGTTCTGGTTCTTGGTTCTGGTCTTGGTTCTTGTCTTGGTTCTGGTTCTAGGTTCTAGGTTCTGGTCTTGGTACTGGTTCCTGGTTCTTGGTTCTGGTTCCTGGTTCTTGTTCCTGGTTCTTGGTCTGGTTCCTGGTTCTTGGTTCTGGTCTTGGTTCTGGTTCCTGGTTCTGGTTCCTGGTTCTTGGTTCTGGTTCTGGTTCCTGGTTCTTGGTTCTGGTCTTGGTTCTGGTTCCTGGTTCTTGGTTCTGGTTCTAGGTTCTGGTCTTGG